CTCAGGAGGGAGCCTCCCGGGGGGGGGCCCAGCCTGCGCTCCCTGCTCTGTCCAGTGCTGGGGGGGGCACAGCCGAGTGACACTGACCCGCGCGCACCCTGCTCACCCCGACCTGGTCACACACCAGAGCACGTTATTCCTCTGTAAAGCGTCACTGGGCTTTTGACTGGGCAGCTTTTTCCAATGGCAAGAATTTCTTCAGCAAAGGAAAACATCCCTAATTTTGGGAACCCATGTGCGACTCCCTGCTCTAGGTCAGTCTTATGGGCAGTACATGCTCCCCCCCCTCCCCCTTGGCAAGGCTAGGCTCCTTCTCCCTTCTATTTGAGACTCTGCCATCCTTACAGCCGAAGCCCTGCCTCTGTTCTGGCAGTACCTGGCACAGCTCACCACCCTGGGTGTCCAGAAGAGCTTTGAGTCCTGCCATCGTGTGGTCCCAGGGCTGCAACAAGGAGTGAAAATGGAGATTTGAGGAGGCCAAGCCGTGTTACCTGATGCCCATTCAGATAAGAGTCCCTCACACTGAATGCTACTGCAGCGAGGAGTCCTGTGGCACCTTATAGACTAACCGAAGTGTTGGAGCATAAGCTTTCGTGGGCAAAGACCCGCTTGGTCAGATGCATGTCGAATGCTACTGATAGTGATGATGTGACTTGCAGCCCTGGGTCCTGCAGGAAGTGCCACAGCTATGTGTAAACACATGAGTGAGGGAAACGTTTGTACAGTGAGCAATAGTGAGTTAGCCTACTACATTGTGATCTTCATGGGGAAAGTGGAAGGCTCTCATGAGTGGCTTAGTCCAGATCTTAGAAGTAGAACACATCCAGTGATTAGTACCACCCTTTAAAAAAATGCTACACCTCTTACATGTGTTTAATGTTGAAAACTATCTGATCATTACAGGATGGAAGGGATGACCAGGTCAATAGAAAAGGAATTGTAAAGGACATAGCAATACGCTCATTTTATGGCAGAGAGACTACCAGAATAGGTCTATATCACTGTGTGGTTTCTCCCAATAAAATGTATAGAAGGGTCTGTTCTTATGCAAACAGAACTGGCCAATAGAGCAATGACTCTACAGGTGCAATAAATCTCAATGGAGCAAAGATGCTTCTACCATGGAGCATGAGTCAGAGCAAAACTTCCTCTTTTCACAGCTCTGAGGTTGAGTGGTCTTGCATTATATTTAATCTAGAGAAGGGCAGTTACTCATTCCCACTTTAACTTTTATGTCAGTACCCTCTTTGCAGGCAGGGTTAACCTTTTTAAGGGAGCAGGCCAAATCTAATCAGTGCAATGTATTAATTCTAATCTAAACAGTCATTAGAAATAGCTCATCACTGTTAATAACTAAGCTGGAACCATTAGCCTTAGTTTGTGTTCTAGGTAGCTCGCTTGTTAGAGAAGTGCATATTGTTTCAGCCATGTTAGGTCACCTCCTTCAGTGAGAAGAGGAGAGCTGCACTGAGTGGCATGCAGCTTCGAACCCTAGAGGTTACAGAAAGATCAGAGATGCGCTGGTCTATGTCCCTGTAATTGCAGTTCTGGCCTTCAGCTCTGTTGTCTGTCTTCCTCTCTCCCAAGAGGCAAATGAGGAAACTTAATGGTGTTTAAAATACACTAAAAAAATGGAGAACACACTAGGCCCTATTGTATCAACAATTTCACTGAAAACAGTAAAGAGGAGCTGTCTTGCTCCGGTTCTGACTGTGTGAATCAAGACAGATTGTTTCCCATGGAGCAGGAGAAGTCTATTAAACAGATGAGTTCAGAACATGGTAAGCTGGAATGCACTTTTGAGTTGTGACTATTCTAAAAGAACATTCTTTCTCAAGTGCCAGAGCTTCAAACATTCAGAAGAGCAACCAGCTGTGAAAACAGAGCTTACTTATTGAATCTTGAGTCTGTAGAAAAAGCTTTACGGTCTGAATTATCTCTGGACTCTATTTGGGCTTAAGCACGACTGAAATCTGAAGTACTTCAGGCCCTCTGAAATTTAGAAACTAGATTGCTGCATAGTATGTAGACTAAAAATGGACATGGAATTGCAGCAATGGCTTCATAGAACTTTCTGATTTCTGAATCTCTCGAACATCTAATGCTTCATGAAGAACATCATGGGATTCCTGTGATTGGTGCAGCTGTGGTTCAGAAGTTAAGAATCATTCTGTTCTGGCAATGAACAACTCCTAAGCCTAATCCATGTTAAGGATTTCTTTATCAACTTTGTCACCAAGGAGCATAAAACTAATTCTACAAGTCTTGTGCATCCATCATTGGAAGACATTGTCATCCTACAATCCTGAAGAGCAAAAGGATTTGTTATGCTTCTGCTACAACTACCTGGTTAAAGCCAAAGCCCTGAGTCCTTTAAAGCAAGCTAGACCTAAATTCTGGAGCAAGATCCCTTATTCTTGTAGCATCTGCTGCAATTTCTGATTTTTTTTATTTAGGTTATTGGTTTGATTGTCAAAAAAAAGGCAATTAATTTCCTTGTGCAGTTTGTTTTTTTATTTTACTCTGTCCACATGCTCCCAATTTACAATATGCATTTAGATTTCCAGCTTTA